CATCATCCCCACCATCATCCTCATCATCATCCCCACCATCGTCCCCATCATCCCCACCATCATCCCCACCTTCATCCTCACCTTTATCCTCATCATCATCCCCACCATCATTCTCACCTTCATCCCCACCATTATCCCCAACATCATCCCCACCTTCATCCTCATTGTCATCCCCACCATCATAATCACCTTCACTACCATCCTCCTCACCATCCTCATCCCCTACTCCAGGGAAGACACTTCATATCTCTTGAAAAGTATCACTGTACCCATTTCCCAGACAAAGAAATCAAGACAGAAATATTCAACATGCACTGAAGTACTCATCATGCCAGTAGTGAATCGCAGTGATCTAGAAGGAGGCCAAGACCTTCCACGTGGAGGCAGGAACTCCTCGGCACTGGCCAAAGCCAAGGCCAAGCACTGAGCCGCTCAGAAGACAATAGACAGACGACACGGCCTCCTGTTGCCACCCGAGATCACCGGGCAGGGCGGGGAGAGGGAAAGACCACAAGCTTTGGTCCGGAAGGCGCGGGTGGGGCTCGATGCTTCCTCTCTCCGGCTGGGGCCTGGGCCGGCATTTTACCTGGAAGCCACGACGTCTGCTTGCAACAGCTGCACGACAGGGCAGCTCAGTAGTCAAATGTGCGCTCCCCACACCGTTCCTGGCACATGGCCGCCGCGCCCCTGGGCTGAGCCTGAGGACAGGCAGGAAACCCGAGTCCCACGAGGGACAGGGCTTGGTAACCAAGAGCTGCCGGACTTTCCTTAGGTAGCAGATTACTCCAGGTGACCCTTGGAGTCACCTCCCCTGGAGAGGCAGGTTTCAGGTTTTCTTTTCCCCAGTGGGGTTGAGCTACTTCGAAGAGGTCAGGCTACCTGGCAGCGGTGAAGCTACCTGGAAGGGGTGAGGTTACCCGGAAGGGCCCAGGTCCCGGCAGAGTTGACGTTGTGGGCACCTAGTCCCAGGGATTTTTCTGGACTGGCTCCCACCCTCAGCTGCTGCGGCTGTTGGCCTTGAGCACCTTCCTGCTGCCCCTTGCTCTAGAGAATTTCCCTGGCCGACACGAAGAACCTGCGAGGTAACGGCCCCTGGGCCATCGCCCTGGGCAGCCCCGTGCAGTAACTGACGGTCTGGGGCTAGATGAGCCTGGCCCTCTTGCCTCAATGCGGGACAACCTCAAGGCACTGGGCGGTCCAGAGAGCCCGTGGGGTAAGGCTGAAGGTTGGCTCCAACTGGGGGTCCCCCCTGTCCTGCCCTGCTCCCCTCACCCCCCTTTCCTAGAGCACCTTCTAGCCATCCACACGCACCAGAGTCCCTTCCGCAGGCTCTGCTCCGGCCTCTCTGAACAGAGACATTAGGAAGAGAAACCCTGGATGTGAAGAGTTTCAACTTCAAAGACCTGCTCAAGACAGTAGCAGGTTAGCAACCACCTGGTGCAAACTCATGGCTTCATGAACGCAGGCAGAGGCCACTTACTGGGCTCCCCGTGCCCCCACGCTGGGCCCTGTTGACGATGCCAGCGACAAGGTCAAGTCTCTCTCCTCGGCCCACTGTGCATCCCTCACACACAGCAGACCGAGGTGAATGGGGAGGCCTGAGAGCACCACGGGGAGGGTGTGGGCAGGGCAGGGCTCAGGCCCCAGGGAAGCCTCGGTGCCAGCTGCTGGGGGTGAGCACACAGCCCGAGGGCAGGAGCGTGCTGAGCTCGGGGGTCACTTATAGGGCAGGGTCAGAGAGGGGAGCCGGGTCTCCGCATGACCCTGCAGGAGGGCGTGACTGTCACCCCACAAATAGGTGCAGGTGAGAGACTCCAGTGCCCGGGGGGGGAGGCGAGGACCAACCCAGCCTCCACACGGGGGACTTCACATCTGGAGACTAAGCCTCGTGCAGAAGCCAACCAGGGGCTTGGCACACCAGACGTCTGCGCTTTAATGAAGGTGCAGGCACACAAAGGCCAATAAATATTTCATCGTCCTTCCTTTCATCTCACAGCAAATGGAACCTGGCTGCGAGGCCCGGGGGATCCCCGCCGGACCCCGGTTCGGAAGCAGAGACGCGGCAAGGCAGGGTGTGGGCTGGGCAGGGGCCCGGCCGGCCGGCCAGGACAGCTGGAGGTCTGGCTGCTCCTTGGCCGGCAGCTTGAAATCAGCCAGGAGTGTCGGGGCTCAGCGTCCCCCGGAGGCTGGGCACACTGGGGGGGAGTGATGGGGTTTGCGCCCCGCGGCGGGCACACTAGGGAAGGCTCCGCTTCTTGTCTTCACTGGCTTCCCTGAGCCACCCTGCCCTGCCCAGCGCAGCCTGTTAGCGGGAGATGCAGGCAAAACCCCTCCCTGGGACGGGCAGTGGATGGAGGAGGTGCAGGTCACCAGATCTTTCCAAGACCTCACCCTGCATGACTCAAGAAAATAACCAGTGACCTTTTCAAGCAGGAGGGTCCATGGACAACAGACAGAACCATGGCCCAGCCGGGGCAAAACAGCGGAAACCTTGCTGCTCTCCCCACTGCTGTCTCCAGATCATTCCCGGGCGCCTGAGCTAAATCCTTTGATATATTTGTACATTTGGGCAGTAAATACTCATCTCAGGGGTTTTCAAAGATCCACAAACACATTTTAAAAATTCTCATCAAGCAGCGCTTGCTGAGGACAATAAAGCAAGGTCATCTGGGTGCGGGGCTCCCCCGGGCCGGGTGTGGCGAAGCCTGCACAGACCTGCCAAGCTCGCACAGGGCAGCGGTTGTTCCTGCTGAGCGCCTACTGTGTGCGGGCCTGAA